CTTCCCGAGCTCGGCGGGTGCACCCGGGAGTGCGAGCGCGGGGGTCCCGGCCCCCTCCTCCGCAGGCAGCTGGGGGCGGCGCGGCGGGGCCCGCAGCTCCGAGGGGCGGCGCCCGGCGGGCCGCGCTCAGCGCTGGGCTCGAGGCCGTCCCCACCCTCACCGCGGTGAACTGCAGCGGTGCGAGTGAAGACGGCCATGAACTCCGCCGCCGAGGCTCAGCGAGCGCGCGCGCAGGGTCGCCGCCGCCGCCGCCGCCCGGCTGCTGTCCGAGCCCGCTCGCCAGCCTGCGCCGTCTCTGGAGCGCCCAGTCCCCACCGGCTCGGCCCAGCCCCGGCCCACGCCCGTCCCCGCTCGCACCGCGCCGCCGCCGGCCGCCCGCACATTCTGGAGCTGGCTGGTGCTCTAGAGCACGGCGAGAACGCGCTTCTTCCGGGCTGCCCCGCTGCGCCGGCTGCCCCCGCGCCCGCCTCGCAGACGGCCCGAGCCCCTTCCGCACCCCCGGCCCGCGCTTACCTGCAGCCTGACACAGCCACAGACACTCGCCGTGGGCTCCCCGCGTTCGCTGTATGCAGGCCGGGGACGGGATGGACGCGGGCGCGGGGGCACGGTAGTGGCAGTGTGTTTTGGATTTTTTTTTTTTCTTTCCAGTTTGGGGCGGGGGCGGGGTAGGGGGAATCGTGCACGTCCCTGATGGTAGCAGCCCTCCTCCTGCACGAGCACAGAATGTCTAGCCGGCCGTGAACACCCCCACCAGTAACCCCCCCCCCTTCCCGTGCATGCGCGGTGCGGGCTAGGGGGAAGGCGCGCCGCCGGCTTGCGCAGGCACGGAACCCGACCGGGCCTTTAAATTGGCGAGCAGGGAAAGGGTTAATCAGGGACTGTGCGACGCTTTCCTTGGAGTCTACGGGGCCGCCCCCGGAGGGCCCTGGCCTGCGCACGCGCGCGCACGCGTGCGGCTTGGGGCGCGCGGAGCCCGCGCGCGGGAGAAGGGGTGGGCGGGTCAGGGGCGGGGCTTCGGGAGTTGAGCAACTTATGCACGAGCACTGCTCGCGGGCACTCGCCCCGCCTGGAGCTCCTGCGTCCTGCTCCGATTTCTGAGCTCCCGCCCGCGCCCGGCGCCGGGAGAGCGCCGTTGACGCGGGAGCCCAGCGTTCCTATGCGTGTGCATGTACGTGGGGCAGTGCCACCCTCGGGCGCGCGCCGGCCGGGCGCTGAGGCTGTGAGGCTCGCCTTTGGCCCCGGGGCAGGCGCCTCAGGCACCGTCGCTCTACACGTACACCGGCCGACACCCAGACGCGCGTTCGTGGGCGTTGGGTCTTGGTTGGTATCGCTGCGGCGTTTTGTGTATGGGAGAATGATAGGCACTTAATAAACGTTTGCAGAACGAATGAAAAAAATAGACATCTTTTATTTGGAGGCTAAGGGGCGACCCCAAGTCACCCAGGAGAAAGGGATCACCCCTAAAGCCCTGGAACCAGCCAAGCCCGGGCCCACGCTCCGGTCACCCGGACGCTCCCCCCAAAAAGTCACGCGGGCTGGAGGCCCTAGCGCATCTCTAGCAGTCGTGAGCCTGGACTCGATTTCATTTGCAGCTCTCCCTAGGAGAGCTGATAACGCAGCAGTGTTCTTCCGTTCCTGTTCAGCAAAAGTAATGGTTCCATTGCAGTTGAAACCATGTCGCGTTCCTTCTGACGCTGTGGCTGGGCCTGTGCCGGGCGTTTGGACCTGGGAAGTGCCTCCTGCTCCCGCGTTTTCTGCTCACCTAAATAAAGGAAGCTGCACTACTGCATCTCCTTAGAGTCGCTTATGCTGCTTTATCACACTCGTTTTAACAGCATTTCGGGGAAAACACGGGTAATTTCATATCTGAAAATTAGATCAGGCTCTTTCTGCTAGACTTGCGTGATGATTACGTGAGATAATGCTTGTAACAGGTACATAGTAAATATTTAAGATATGACTGGCTGTATTAAATTCTAGATTCCATATGGACTCCGCTGATTTTGTGATGTTAACTGACAATAAGTTGCAATGTTTTTGCCAGGTAGTTTTATACACATCTTTTTTGATGTTTACAGAAGCCCAGAGATTAGTAGGTCTACTGAACGAGGGAGGATAGAATAGACCAGTCCTAGAGTCAGACATATCCAGTTCCAATATTGGGTACATTGTTAACTTCACTAAACCTCCGCTTCTTCTTCTCTGAGATAAAGAAAGCACCTAATAGGGCAGTTGTGAGGATTAAATGAAATAATGCTCAGTTAAATGCTTAGTCCAAATATTAGCTCAGCGGTGTTAAATGACCTGCCAGATCTCCATAGATAGTGGGTTCAAGTGGCAGAGGCATGATCAGAATGGACAAAATTTATGTTCATACTTGACACCTTTGTGACCGTGTTCCCTGTGACACCATGGCTGAGCTTGTTTATTCTTGTTTACATAGCTTTTAAGATGACACTTCAATCCTGTCTATGTTTTGTGTTTATAGGGGGATAATAATAGTACTATGTCATAGAGTTATATTATCAAGCAATAAAACTGTCATTGCATTTAGCCGTATGGACATGGCTAGCACTTAGTTATGGTTCATTGTCTCTCCCTCTTCTCCCATACCACATAATTGCAAAGGTTTAGACTCTTTCTGCATATATTTATTATCTGCCTATTATGTAAAGACAAGCCTTGCATGTGGCTAGGTAAAGTCTTCCTGGGATTTGACTAACCTGATGAAATTAAAATAGTTCAGAAGAGTTTTCCAGCACTAGAATGCACTTCTCAAGTAACAGATTCCTGATATCTGGGTTTTACACCAATTAACCCTCTTTCTTCTCTCATATGTTTTATGCTCACCTGGGCTTTTCCTGGTTGTGCCTTGTTTCATAGGGACCATGGAGATGAGTCTAAATTAAAAGGGCAACTCCAAGAGAAGGAGCAGGGAGGGGCAGGAAAGCACAAAGAAAGGGCCTGACCCAGACCTGGCACCGTGCCTGGTCACCAACCTAAACACAGCACTGTGCAGCACCCTTTAGGCCCTCAGTAAATACTGGCTGACAGATCAGTGACAATCTAGAACTCAATACCACAGGGAATTATAAGGGCACTGTTTTTATCTGTATAATCAGAATAAAAATAGTACCTCCACATAGGGTTAATTAATTAGCTTAATGCATAGTTATGAGTATCCATTTTGTGCCAGGTGTAATAGGCACTGTGGATACAGCAGTGAACAAAACATGCAAATATTCCCACTTGGGAGGCATATAAGAAACAAATAATTGAAATACACACTTGTGTGTGTGTGTGTGTGTGTGTGTGTGTGTGTGTGTGTGTGTGTGTTACCTAGTAATAAATGCTTTGGAGAAAAATACAGCAGGGGAAGGAAATAGGTAGGCTGGAAATATGGGTGAGCAGTTTGAAATAAAGCCATCAAGACAGGCTCACTGAGAAGGTAGCATTTAGGAAAAGACCTGAAGGAGGTGAGGGGGCCAGTTGAGTGAAGATATGATGAGAAGACCTCTTAGGGAAAAAGAACAGCAAGCACAAAAGTCCTGAAGCAGAAGCACCCCTTTCATGTTAAAGAAACAGCAGAGAAAGAAGTGGATGAGAGAAGTAGGAAGAACACACATCCCCATGTCCACTGCATCGATCTGGATGGGTCAGATGACAGTGTAACAGTTTTTGTTTCAGTTTTCTACTGATACTGTTTTTATGTTTGTTGAACACGAAATGCATGACACACTCTAACTAATTGTATATATTTCTGGACAAATTCTAGCATTGTTTAAGAGAACCCTGGAACTAAAATCTTCAAAGAATAAGGGGGAGTGACAGTGGTGGGGAGGGGGTGAGGGCGAAACATGATTTGTACAGTCAGATGACCTGAGAATCACAGTTAGGGACTTCTATAGAGAAGGGAGGGGAAAGGTTTCAAAATGGAAAGGACTTTTGCTCCACTCCAGGAAGGAGTCCAAGCAGTCATGCTGGAGACGGTTACGAGGAGCAGTGCTCTCCAGTGAGGGTCAGGAAGTAAATCCCTAAGAGCCATCCTTGTCAACCTTGGCTGCACGAAGTTATCACCTGGGGGGCTTTAAAGATACTGGCCCTGGAGTCCCACTCTCAGAGATTCTGGTTAATTGCTTTGGGGTGTGGCCCAAGTTATCGGCATTTATAACGGCTCCCCAGGTGATTATAAGATACAGCCATGGTGAGGGGACCATTCAGGGACATTTGAGAGATTTATATAAGATGATACCTTTAAGATAGTAACACAATTCCTGTACACAATCAGCTATTGACTTCCTTCTTCAGAGTTGAATGCTTGAATTTGGCACTAACAAGGTAACATTTGTTCTGCCGGATGGGATCAACATTAAATGGATAAGAACATCTCAGCAGAATTCTTTTTTCCATTCAACATGATATCTTTATAGTACTCCTACATCTTTCTATGGTCAGCACAAAATTCTGTCTAGAAATTAGCCATTTCTTATATTCTTTTGTGCTTTAAAAATGAGACTATAAGATGAGGGCAAAGAGAATAAGTAAAGGTTTAGTTTCTTCTCACAATTAGTTTGAGACTCAAGCAGTGTTGTCTGCATAACTAGCCAGTAAGTCAGATCTAAATTCCAGTTTTTCTTTGGGATGAATAGGCTAAGCATGAATTTAAGCCAAATAATGTATTATCTACCACTATATTTAAACTGTAGGATAATAAAAGTAACAGATGACCCTAAATATTACATGACTATCTTTATGATTAGAGAACAAGCTAATATATTTTCCCATACTTATCTATTATTAATAGAAGTTATGGTCTCAATCTCCAGTTTTTTTAAAAAAATTCAATAAGAGTTCTAAGAAATTTGTAAAGACACATAAATCTTTTCATAGCTAATATTTAAACCATTTAAGTAACTGGAAATGATCAGACAGATTATGTCATCAGTTTTTTATTATGTATCTTCCATATCATAGTGAAACTATCTTTCTAAACAGATCTGTTTGGAAAAGTCTGTGCAGGCATACCTCATTTTATCGTGCAGCACAGATGTTACATTTTTACAAATTTAATTCAAGACTCTCCATCCTATTACTTTATTGCTCTACTCAACTTTATTGCAGTGGCCTGGAACAATATCTCTGAGGTATGCTTATATTATATTTAATTTGAAAAAGTTACTTATAAAATTCCATTCTACTGTTTGCAAAATAGTGTTTAGAATAATTTAAATGAACACTCGGGGAAATGTGCAATAAAAAATAAATTCTTTAAAAATGTAGAGCAGTTAGGTATGCTCATATTTCCCATCCAAAGATGCTATACATTTCAAATTTCCCATCCAAGGGTGGTATATATTGATAATATGTTGGTTTGACTTCTGAAGAGTCCATGTACTGTAAGCCAGCACGAGAGCAGTGTTCCACAAAAACAGGTAACTATTTACGTTAGATGTTTCTATTTTTTAATAAGCTTTTTATTTTGGAATAATTTTGATTTATGGAAAAGTTGCAAAAATAATACACAGTGCTCCTGTATATCCCTCCACCTAGTTTTCCCATTGTTAACAACTTGCGTTACTGTGATACATTTATCCAAACTAAAAAACTGATATTGGTGCATTACTATTAACTGAATTCCAGACTTTTTTGCAGTTCATCAGTTTTTCCCGCCATAATATTCTCTTTCTGCTCCATGGCCCAATCCAGAGTCCCACATTGCATTTAGTTGTTGTGTCTCCCAGTCTCTTCTGGTCTGTGATAGCTTCTCAGTCTTTCTTGTTGTTGTTTTTTTTCATTATTTTGTCACTCTTGAGGAGTACTAGCCAAAAATCCTATGGAGTGTTTCCCCAACCTGGGTTTTGTCTGATGTTTTTCTCATAATTACACTAGGGCTGTGGGATTTTGGAAAGACTACCACAGAGATGAAGTGCCCTTCTTGTCATATCATCTAACTATTTTAAAATCACTAAATCTGAACTAGATAAGCATTAAGGTCCTTTCCAGTTGTTCTAAAATGCTATGATCATATATTTTATATGGCCTGCTATTTTTTAAAACATATATATATATATATATATATATATATATACATATATATATGTGCTTTACAAAACTAGTATATATATACATATATATGTGTATATATATATTTAAAGCATATATATATATATATATATTCTAGTTTTGTAAATTTTTGTCTATAATTTCACTCAAGTAATAAGTAGGCAGGGAAGACCACATAATCAATACATAGACAGCAGAAGATTAATTTTATGCTTTTCCCAAAAGCCATGTGCTCTGTATGGATCTCTAGCAGTGACAGATTTATGACAGAGTTTACCAGTCTACTAAATATCACCATCCTTGGCTAAACTTACCCATTGGAGGCAAATATATCAGTAGGCCAAGCATATTTTTTAATAAAAGGAAACAAATGAAAAAAACAATTTAAAAATTGGGTAGAAATGTATTCAATCATGGGAACATCAAGAATGACAAAGATGGGCCGGCCAAGTGGCTTGTTGGTTAAGAGTTGGCTTGAGAACGGGAGCTCTGAGCAGCAGGGCCGCCAGTTATAACCCTACATGGGTCAGTGACACTGCCCTCTACAGCTAAGATGGTGAACAACAGCTCGACCTGGAGCTGGGCTGCCATGAGTCACCAGCAACGGTGTAGGCTGCAGCCCCTGCTGCAGTGGGCTGCCATAAGCTACCATAAGTGGTTGGCAGCCAGCGTGAGTGGCTTGCAGCCAGCGTGAGCTGCCAAGAGCCACTGTGAGCAGCCATCCAATGGCCGGCATTGGGAAGAGTGCAGTGATCACAATACCAACATGGGCCAGTGAAGTGACATCCTCCACAACTAGACTGAAGAACAAAAGGACA